ACGATTGATAAAAAATCAGTCGAAATTTTAAACGTCGAACAATTAACCTCAGGGCATATAAAAACATGAATACATCATTATGAAACAGTATACACTCGAGTTGTATTATTATAATGCATTACAATGTATTTATATACCCAGGATTATTATTTATCACTACTATTATATTATTTACAATGATAATTATATTATTAAATTCTATATGAGGTAAATAATAAATTCATTATATATTTAATAATACTTTTTTTTTCTTTTTTTTTAGATGAGTTTCGATACTATACAATATTGAGAAGTAAGAAAAAAAATTTTTTTACATATTCAGTTGAATTTAGTTGAGATAAGTTATTTTGAGAAAAAATAAATACTATCAGTTATTATGAGTATGAGTATGAGTACTTTTGAGATGAGATGAGTTGAGTTATTAGTGTGGGTCAGAGAACTACGTTGTCTGATTCAATAGGGATAGGAACTTTCGTGCCATAGCGAAGCAGTGTAGTGCTAGGGAAGGCCTCTATATGTCGTTGGTCCCTATCGTTAATACGGTATACCTTCGGCCATTGCCCTACCAGTCCGGCGTGGTCTGCCTGTGGTACTTATGGCATTGACAAGGAATCTCTCCCTTGTCGCGCGCGCGGCTAAGTCAAAATGAGCCGAGAAGAATCGAAACGATTAGCAATGTGAATAAATTTATTGAGCAAGCGAAAAGAAAAAATTACAGTTACATTTTCTTTTTTACATTGGCAATTGAGTTTGTAACTGTTTTAATATTAAGATGATTAGGTGGAAGTGATTTTTGCAAGATAGAAAGTGCCTTTTCTAAGAATGAGAGTGCTTTCGAGTAGTCACCCATGTTGTTATACACTTGACCGATATTGTTGTAGGAAGTAGCCAATGAGGGATGATTTGCAGGCAGAGCATTTTCTTTTATTTTAAGTGCTTTTTCGTAAAATTCAAGTGCTTTCGAGTAGTCACCCATGTTGTTATACACTTGACCGATGTTGTTGTAGGAAGCAGCCAAATCGGGATGATTCGAAGGCAGAGCTTTTTCGATGATTTGATGTGATTTTTCGTAAAATTCAAGTGCTTTCGAGTAGTCACCCATGTTGTGATACACTTGACCGATGTTATTGTAGGAATAAGCCAATTCGGGATGATTCGAAGGCAGAGCTTTTTCTCTTATTTTAAGTGATTTTTCGTAAAATTCAAGTGCTTTCGAGTAGTCACCCATGTCATTATATACTCCACCGATGTTGTTGTAGGAAGTAGCCAATGAGGGATGATTCGGAGGCAGAGCTTTTTCGTAGATTTTATGTGATTTTTCGTAAAATTCAAGTGCTTTCGAGTAGTCACCCATGTTGTTATACGCTAGACCGATGTCGTTGTAGGAAGTAGCCAATTCAGGATGATTTGGAGGCAGAGCTTTTTCTCTTATTTTAAATGATTTTTCGTAAAATTCAAGTGCTTTCGAGTAGTCACCCATGGCATCATACACTCCACCGATGTTGTTGTAGGAACCAGCCAAATCGGGATGATTCGAAGGCAGAGCTTTTTCGAGAATTTTATGTGATTTTTCGTAAAATTCAAGTGCTTTCGAGTAGTCACCCATGTCTCTATACACTTCACCGATGTTGTTGTAGGAACTAGCCAAATCTGGATGATTCGAAGGCAGAGCTTTTTCGAAGATTTGATGTGCTTTTTCGTAAAATTCAAGTGCTTTCGAGTAGTCACCCATGTCGTTATATATGTAGCCAATGTTGCCGTAGGCAGGAGCCAATGAAGGATGATCTTCCGGAAGAGTTTTACGCCGAATTTTGAGGGATTTTTCGAGAAATGAAGCTGCGTCTGCGTATTCCCCTCTGTCTTTTTTCACACATGCAAGCTGGTGATAGATATCTGCTTTATCACTGTCGTTGGATGTCTGTTCTAGTAGTGCTGTATATAATTCTTCAGCCTTGTTGAATTGACCAATTTTGAGCAACAATTTACCCATTCGATACCATCCAGTGCCACCTGAAGATTCTTTTCGTATACAGTCGGTTAATTGACGAAGCTGTTGGTCATCATCCGACGTAAGTTTAAGGTCCACTTGATAAAGTGGACTTTTCTTGTCAAGTTTTCGAACTTCACCAATTCGAAAAACGGTGTGCATGGAGAAGAGAATTTCCTCTTCGTCCTTGTAATAACTCACCTCCTGGATGGAGGCGAAAGGAGTCGATGAGACAGTAGGATCTACTGTCATTTGAAAGAGGATGCCGACTATATCGATCGTTTCTAATGCATCTTTGGCGAAACCGAGGGAAACATCTCGTTTTGTACTGGTGGATAAAAAGTTGTTGAAAGATATGAGACCACCTTTGTTTTTTGCAAGTTTTTCGAAGTCGCTTGTCGATAATCCTTGACCCCTATAAACTAGAAAGGACTTTCCATGATACTGACTGACCTGTTGGCTGTGTAATTCTTCGATTTGTCGATGAACATCACACAGGAAAAATCCCATTCGGATGATAATGTCGCCATCCAATGCTCTTAATGCTCGATTGAGCATTTTGTATGTGAAGCATTGGCGTGTATACCACCATAACGCCAACGTTGGATGATAATTACGTTGAAATTCATTGATTAACTTGAGTTCTTTGGTATTGCCTTCGTATTGTTCTTGGCAATATGTGACCAAGTCTTTAATGGCTTTTTGGCCATGTTCCATATCAAGGAGTATTTCCTTGAATATTTGAGTATACATGAAGGAAGGCTCTAGCTGATTGAGATTTTCGCTAGAACCTCCTTCATTGACACCGATAATACTGACTGTTACTTGATCTTGATTGCATTGTTTGACAGCCAGTGCCAGTTTTTCACAGATGTGCTTAATTGATGTATGCACACCTTTAATTTTGGGCCAATTCTTAGCCCATTCTTGGTGACGTTGCTTGTTGCCACAAAAGATGTATACGGCATCCAGTTTTGGCATGCCATGAATTTCTGGTACCAGGTGTTGTCCTAATGCACCTGAGGAGATGACAAATGATGTCTCCTCATTGTTTTCCTGGAGTTTCTGGATACATTGGTCGGTCGTGGTGCATGGATTGACTTGATTAACAATACCGCGCAATTGCGCGAGTGTATTCTGGCAATCTTCATTTACCATGTTGATATTGCTGTCGACCCAGATGACCAGGTAATTTTCAGCCATTCGTAGTCGTCGTTGTCTATTCATTTTCGACGTTGTTTTTGGCGTTTGCTCGACGATTGAATATTGTGAAGGATCAATTGTTGTTTGGATAGAGACCACTGTTTTCTATTTATATACTCGATATTAGATGTTTTTTTTCTAGATTATTCTATGACGTCAAATATGGGTGCGTATTTTTTTTTTGTTGATACTCAAAGATAAATCCCACCTACTTTCAATTGAAAATATGCTTGTCAAAAGTAAACGAAAGAAAAAAATCCAACAACATCATTTATCTTTTCGTTATTCTTTCCAACTTTCGCTGCTTTTTTTTCTATTGACTTTTATTGATCCTATAAAACGAGGCTGACAATGTAAGATAAGAAGAAATTAAGCATAAATAAATAGAATGATAAGAATAAAATAGCAAGAAGAACGATATAAAGACAATAAGTGGAGGAATCATCATCATAAATTTGTAGGCTAGTGCGATCTTATGTTGGGATGTGTGTGCCTAGGTAGATGTGTGTCCGAATTTGAGTATGGGTGGATGCGGCTGTAGCCGTATGGTGTGAATTGGTGCTGGTGGATGTGGTTGTGGCTGCGGCTCCGGACGGGCATCGATGTGGGTTGGTACAGCTGTGATTATGAGTAGTGGATGGTTATGTGGGAGTGTGAGTGTGGATGTGGGAGCGGAAGCAAATGATATGGACGTGGTAGTGGGTGTCGATGTAGACGCGGGTATGGGTTGGCATGGGTGTGGATGTGAGTCTTCTCTTCAGCAAGCACGCTCACGTCCACCGACATCCACACCCACAGTCACATCCTCGTACCTTCATTCTTCTTCAAATTAAAAACCTTGTCGATCATGTGAAACA